CCCTCTTCCCCCTCTCCCCCCTCCCCCCTCGATTTCATCCCGCCTCTCCTCGTCTTCCCCCATTTCCGCCCCTCCTCCTCCTCCTCCTCCTCGCTCCGTCCTCTTCTCCTCTTCTCCGCATCCTCCCCTCCTCTTACCTCCTCCTTCCTCCTCCTCCTCCTTCCCTTCCCCTCCCCCCCCCCCCTTCTCCTCCTCCTCCTCCTCCACATCCTCTCCTCCTCCTCCTCCTCCTCCTCCTCCTCCTCCGCCTCCTCCTCCTGATCGACGGTCAAAATGGGCCCTCCGTGGCGCGGAAACTGAATGTCACGGAGTTGGTGCGTCACGGACTTAGTGCGCATGGCCTTTAAGTCTCAGTCGCGCACTCTTCTGGTGACGTCTGCCTGGTTGGCGGCGGCAACCAGCGAAACTGGCTTGCAGCGCTGCTCTGCATGGGACTCATCGCGGTTGTTGTCTCTAGGTCGGGTCCTTCTGGCATGTTGTTTGGATGGCTACCTTGTGCCGCCTTGCGGTGCAAGGTTTGCTCTCCAACCTTCATTGCTGGATGGCCCAGCCTTGCTCTCGACGTGTCCAATCCAATCCGCCTCCTCCTCCTCCTCGTCCTCTCGCCCCCCTCCCTTTCCCCATCTTCTCCCTCTCCCTTCTCCCCTCTCCCCTCTCCCCTTCTCCCCTCTTCCCACTCCCCTCCCCCCCTCCCCCTCACCCCTCCCCCCTCCCCTCCCCCTCCCACTCCCCCTTCCCCCTCCCCTCCCTCGCTTCCCCCCCCCCTCCCTCCCCCTCACCCCTCACTCCTCCTCACTCCTCCTCCTCCGCCTCCTCCTCCTCCTCCTCCTCCTCCTCCTCCTCCTCCTCCTCCTCTCCTCCTCCTCCTCCTCCCCCCTTCTCCTCGCCAAACATTCTTCCGCTCCTCCCCCCCTGAACCCCCGCGCCCATCCGCATCGTGCCTCATAGTTTCCCGCCTCCTCCACCTCCTCCTCCTCCTCCTCCTCCTTCCTCCTCCTCCTCCGCCTTCGCCTCCGCCTCCGCCTCCGCCTCCGCCGCCGCCGCCGCCTCCTCCTCCTCCTCCTCCTCCTCCTCCTCCTCCTCCTCGTCCTCCTCTTCCTCCTCTTCACCGTTTCAGCCCGACCACCGCGGAGAACGACGGGACGAGCGGAGGGAAGAAGAAGCCCACGTCGTGGTCGAGATAACATTCAAACGGACAGACGAGGGTTGAAGAGGAGAAGGAGGAGGAGGAGGAGGGCCCCGAGAAGCAGCGCAAGGCGCTGGCAGGAGCTGCATTTGGCAAAACAACTAACTTCGACAACTTCGACCGCCCAAACACAACCTAAAGTCGACAACTTCTACCGCAAAGAAGCACCTCCCCCTCAAACTCTAACATGTGCAGTGCACGAGCTCCAAATAAACTTCAACATTTACCTATACGACCACCCTTCGGGTGATAATGAGGTTCGGGGGGGGAGGAACCAACGTCTCACTCGATCGGTCTCACTATCGATCTCACTATCGATCTCAGTATCGGTCTCGCTCGATCGATCTCCCTCGATCGATCTCACAATCGATCTCACTCGATCTATCTCACAATTGATTTGACTATCGATCTCACAATCGATCTCACAATCGATATCACGTTCGGTCTCACTATCGATTTCACTATCGATTTCACAACCACTCTCACAATCAACGTCATCATCATCATCAACAACATCAACATCAACATCATCATCACCAACATCATCATACTCGGGACACCGTCCTCATCATCAACCCCAACATCATCATCATCATCATCATCATCACGGTCATCAACATCATCGGGACACCACCATCATCATCATCATCACCATCATCACAATCATCATCATCAACATCATCATCATCAGCAGCAGCATCGGGACACAGTCATCGTCATCATCATCATCAACAGCATCATCATCGACACCATCATGATCACCATCGTTGGCATCATCATCATCATCATTATCATCATCATCATCATCATCGGAACACCATCATCATCATCATCATATCATCATCATCTTCGACATCAACATCATCATCAGCATCAACATCATCATCAACATCATCATCATCATCATCGTTGTCATTATCGGGGCACCATCATCATCATGATCATTAACAACATCAGCATCAACATCATCATCATCATCACCATCGGGACGCCATCATCATCAACAACATCACAATCACCATCATAATAATCATCATCATCGGGACGCCATAATCATCATTAACCTCATCATCATCAACATCATCATCATCGGGACACAATCATAATCAGCATCATCAACATCAACATCATCATACTCATCACCATCGGGACACCATCATCGTCATCATCATGATCATCAACATAATCATCATGATCATCATCATCCTCATCATCCGGACACCATCAGCATCATCATCATCGTCATCATCATCATCGACATCATCATCATCATCATCATCATCATCGGGACACCATCATCATCATATCATCATCAGCATCATCATTATCGTCCTCATCATCATCAGCAGCATCACCATCATCATCATCGACGTCATCATCATCATCATCAGCAGCATCATCATCATCATCAGCATCACCATCATCATCATCATCATCATCACGTCATCATCATCATCATCATCATCATCATCATCATCATCATCATCATCATCATCATCATCATCATCGCATTCACATCATCTCATCAATCATCATCATCATCATCCATCATCTCATCATCATCATCATCATCATCACATCATCGCGGGACACCGCGGGAAGCACCGCGGGACACCGCGGGCAAACCGCCGAGACACCGCGGGACTTTCGCGCGGGCACCGGCGGGACACCGCGGGCCACCGGCCCCCGGAAAGGAATCATTTAGTCCGGCCGCGCCTCAGCCGAAGGCGGGACACCGGCGGGACACCGCGGGCCACCGGCCGCGCCGCCCGGTGGAGAATCATTTAATCCGGCCGCGCCTCAGCCACAGGAGACTTTCTCTCGCCCGCCCACGCAGCTTCGCCTCGCCCGCACGCACGGCACGCACGAACACGAAACCGAAATCGATTTCTCGGTAGGGGGCTCTCCGTTCCACTTCGATCTCACCCCCTCACCTCCGATGTTGTGATTTAGTCTAGCAGCTTCCTTCTCAAGCTCGTGAGCGAGAGAAAAATCTAGCAGTGTCGTAATCGAGTCGAAGGGAAGCCCCTTCCCTTTGATCCCTTCCCCGGGGGGGGGGGTCCCGGGGGGGGGGGGGGGGGGGGGGGGGGGGGGGGGGCAGATTCGTTTTTCCTCGGGCGGCCTAGAAACCTCGAAAACACTCCAAATGAGGTCCGAATGCCCAAGATGGCCCCCGAGACGGCCCAAGAGGGCCCCGAGTCGCCCAAAGATCGGCCGAAAACGCCCAAGATAGCCCCAAGACCGTCCAAGAAGCCTCCAAGACGTCCCAGGCCCCCTCCAAGAGACCCCCAGGAAGCCCCAAGAGGCCCCCACGAGGCTTCCAAGCGGCCTCTAAGAGCTTCCCAAGAGGCCCACAAACTACCCCCAACAGGCGCATAAGAGCGCTCGTCGTCGTCGTCGTCGTCGTCGCCATTCAGGGTCGGCGGCACCGGCCGTAAGGCCTTCGCAATAAACTTCAACATTTATGTTGTTGTATTTAGTCTAGCTGCGGAAGTATAACTTAAGGTATCGGAGTGCAACTGGAGTTGCATTATCATATATCCCAACTTCAATAACATCTTCATACGGACTCTATCAATTAGGGGCCCTCTGGAACCGTTTTGAGTCCCCCTCTGGCGCCTCTTGGGCAGTCTGGACTCTGTTGAGGCCGAAAAAACATACATGATATAGATTTCAGTGTTCCTTTCGGAATGGAACGATGTTGGCCTCCTGGGGTCCTCTTGGGGAGCCTCTTTCTTGGCGCTTTTCGAAGCCGTCTTGGAGCGTCTCGGAGCTGTCTTGGGGCTCTGTCGGGGCGTCCTGGAGGCTTCTTGGATGGTCTTGAGGCCATCTTGGGCGCTCTTGGAGCGCTGTCGGGCGGTCCCGGAGCCTCGGGGGCGTCCAGGAGAACTGCCTTTGGGGGGGGTGGGGGGGGGGGGGGGGGGCAAATTACACACGGGAAGTCCCGGCCCGGGGGACCCAGGCCGGGATCTCCCATATATGTATATGTGTGACCGTATGGAGATGGCCTGTACGGGAAATCCTGAAGCCAGAATACTGATGCCTCTGACTTTTAGTTCCGCCGCCTCCCGCTGGCCTTTCCGCCGGTGAACCCGCCGCCGTTTTACTTTCACTGGCCTCAGCCGAGGGCGAGACACGCCGAAGGCGAGACCCTTTCTAGAACGCGCCATACAGGGCTGCACAACGCCTCTCTCGCATGAATCTGGAGCCACGGGTTTAGATGTTCGGTGGTATGCCTTTACTTCTCGGCAAACCTCCTTCGACCTGCTGCCCGTCCCGCGGACCTTCAGGCGTGGGCTGGGTGTCAACTGCTGCATGTACCCCCCGGAAGCTAACCCGTCGGTGTTGTGTGCAAAGGCGCGGCTCTCTTGCTGACAGAAAGGCGAGGACATCACGAGGAGGGGAGGTTACGACAACAAGGGGCAGCAATGAAAGATGTGCTTTTGCTGGCGCAAGAGAAGGCTGTCTTGAAATTATGGCTGAATGAACTGCACGCGCTGTCACGCCAGCTGGCGGAGCACGCTCGGGTGAAACGAGGCTTGGCGGCGGACGGAGAAGGCACGAGGCATCTGGACATATTGAAAAAAGAGAAGGGGGGAGGGGCCAGGATCGAGCCGAAGGCGTGAGACGAGAAGGGAGAAACGTGACGATGCCCCGCTGGGGCCGGTTCGAGTGCTCCACGGGGGCCTCGTGGCACACAGATGGGCCTGCGCCCGTCTGCCCCCCGCGCATGTGGCGGCGCACGCGCCCCCACCCGCCGCGGCCGCCAGTCGAGGAAAAAGACTCACCGGATGCCGACGGCAAGGAGAGGTAGATGCTTGGTGTCCGTTCCATGGGAGCCTGCGTGGCCCCCGGCGCTGTCCGACTTGGGCCTGATTTAAACCAGATCTGGAACAAGTGTGGACCAGATTTGGACCAGATCTGGAGTGGATTCGCGGGGACTAGAAGAACGAGGAGGAAGAGGGGGAACAGGAGGGGAGAGGAGGAGCAGGAGGATGGGCCAAATGTGGCCCCCGCGCTTTCCACATGCAGGAAAAGCTGATTTCAATGTCGCCGCCCAAGGCTCCCATGAACAGACATCGAATAGATGGGGGCCCACACAAGGTCTCCAGTATTTGGAGGCCTGAAAATGGGCACCAACACCAACACAGGGGGATGCCTCCACAGGGGAAAGATGATCTTCGATTCCTGCGTTGGTGGTAGTATTTCGGTCACCTTGGAAGCCAGAGTATTGCCACCACGCCTCGATTGGGATCTTCTTCCCTCGGTGGAGGCACAACCGCCGATGTTGGTGTTGGTGTCAACCTCCAGGCCTGCGAAGTTGGATGGGGGGCCCACACAGAGTCTCCAGTGACAAGTTTCGATTGCTTCAGTTCGCGAGCGCGCCTGGGGGCCCCAGCACGAAAGAAGTGCCCCGAGCGATCCCCGAGCGAGACTCGGGCGGTCGGTGTCATGGATGCAAGAACTTCCGGGGGCGGTCTTGAGGGCCCCCACGGGCGCCCCACGAGCGCCCCGCGGGATCCCAAGGGAGCTCCAAGGGATCAGTCGAGTCGGGACGCAGGGGTGGCAGGTTCCACGATGGCCTCTACGCGCTCCTTGAAGTTTTCAAGGCAGCCTCGAGACCGTCAAATACAGCTCCAAGAGGCCCCCGAGTCATGAATTTCGCGTTGAGTTTTCAAAGATTGTGGCGCGACCGACTCACCAATCCTCTGGCCGCTCAAGACGGCCCATTCCGCCCCAGAGATGGCCGCAATTCAAGCCACGAGGCCACCAGGACGGCGACGAGGCCCAAGAGGGCCCCAAGACGGCTCCAGATGCCTCCCAAGAAGCCCCTCAATCCATCAAGAGGGTCCCAAGAATGGGGAAATCGAAGTGAAAATTTGAACTCTTTCCCGACAGATGGCCCCCTAGACCGCCAGAAAGTCCCCAAGAGGGTCCCAAGAGACCTCCATGGGCCCCCGAGAGGTCCCCAGAGGCCCCCCACAGACACACCCAAGAGACCCCAAGAGGCTCGCAAGAGGACCCAAGAGGCCTCAAAGTGACCCCGCGAACGCAGGCAAGTGCCAGCGATGGTACAAGACAATCCTCCAACACAACCTCCAAGCCGCCCTATTCGGAAAGCTGCCCAAGATCACATAGACCCCCAAGACCCCACAAGAGACATCGAAAGATGCCAAAAGGTACTAGGTGGCCTCAAACAAGTGATGTGCTGCATGACAATCTTCCAACGAGGTCTCCAAGCCTCAACCAGTGCACGATACGCATGCGCGATCTGTTGCATTCACAACCTCCAGATCGCTCAGCGCACCCAGCGAAGCTGCAAGACAGTTCTTAAACTATACCTCCAAGAAACCCTCAGGACAATCTTCGGAGAGCTCCTCATCTCTTTCCTATTCTGGTCGTCTGTTTCCTCCTCTCCTGCCTCCTCAACCAGTGTGCGATACGAGGTGAGCGATCTGCTGCACTCACGCCCTCCACGCACACAAACGGTGATGCTAAACGGGCCGAACGTGGGGTGAAGCAACGTGCACGTTTCGTGCACCTTTTGGGCCCGCGATGAAGTTTATGGCCATATCGGTCCACTTTAGGGCCACGTCCTACACTCCTCAGTCCCCCCATAAATGTATTGCCCCCAGGTTGCCGTCCGTCCGACACTTTGCGCACCGGTGTCCTCATCATCATGCACGTGCGCATAAACGGCAGAAGGCAGAGCATTGCTCACAACTGCGTAATCAGCCTGGGCAAAGGCAGACAATGAGGCTGCCTGATTAGCGAGTCTGACGGGGCCCGGAAGACACAGGCACATGCCCCCATCCTGATGCGGACCACCCCCTTGCTCGCTTCCTGACATGAACGGGAAGAGGACGAGGACTAATTCCGTGAGCCGATTGGCTCAGGATACGTGCTGGGAATTTCTGAGGCAGGGCGCAAGTACAATTATCGTGCTCCCATGAGAAGGGCCAGAATAAGGAGGGAACGGGCTTTCCTGGCCACTGCGAGCCTCGGCGACGAATCGGTTTTCCGACCTAGAACTAAGAGCACGGCCCGAAAACCAGATCCCCTCCTGAACCAAAAGTGGCGCGGGAGGTCATTATCGAGTCGGGAAATCGGATCGGGCCGGCGCATGCGTCGAATCGGTCTGCATCGGCTTGGGGTCGGAATCGATTGGGATCGGCCGCGCCAGTCACAAAAGCACCATGCAATCATCGGGCCTCGTCAGATGGTCGAAACATCGGTGTCGAACCGGACCGAGCCAGGCGAACTCGGCACCGAAGCGGACCGATCGAATCGAAATGAACCCTGACGTGGCCCTGACTTCATCGTCTAGGCAAAGATCGTTGGCTCAAGAATGGGGTCCTGAGGGAGGGGGGCCGAAGGATAGGGAGGGATCCGATGGTGGATTCACGCCGTTTCAGGCACCAGGTCCTTGCGACCCCCATCCCTCAGGACCCCATCTCTGAACGACCGAGAGGAGGAGGAAGAAGGGCGGGCCCGCTCGCAGCCGCCCGTGGGCACGAGGCCCGTCCGAGGACAGGCTGCAGGTGCCCCCCCCTCGCGTGGTGAAACCGCGGAGGTGCGGAGTGATGCTGGCACGGGGTACCGAGAGGGCGCGTTAGTCGGCGACGCGCAAGGGGGAGAAGTGAGAAGGGACGGGCCTTCTCGGAAGGCTCCGAAGTCCCCCGGCCTTCTGAAACAAATTGTTTCAACTTTCCCCGAAGACGCATGAAACCTGTCAGGAGGCCGGAAGCTTTCTGAAAAAAAAAAAACGCTGCCGTCTGAGAGGCTCCCCTCGCTCGCCGCCGAACTAAAGGGGACGGGCTCAGGGGGGGACACATCGGGCTGGAGGCGGCAACACATCGCCGACGAATCGGCGACTGACCCCCGATAGCGAATCTGAACGTTTTCGGGCGGGGTGGGCGACCGAGCCCCAGCCGACGGTTTTGAAGAGGCGATCGGGGGTCGATGCGTTCCCCCCAATGTTGCCCTTTGACTTGCGGCCCTGAACTCGGGCTTCTGGCGGCCGTTTGGGGGCACCCCTGGAACGCTCTCGGCAAGGCGAAGCTGCTGGAGAGCACCACGAGGCTGGAGGACCAAGAACCCGCGAGACGCCCAACAACATCGAACCTGAGACCTCCGTCCCCGATTGCCCATCCCCTTGTCGGAGGGCAAAATGGATATCCATAGTCACTGCGTCTTGGGCGTTCCAAGAATGGGCTCGAAAGGGCCGAGGCGTAGTGGATATGCATGCAAAGATTGATCCCGAGCGCTCGCAGAGCCTTCAATGGGTTCGCACTCGAAACGGCAGCGGTGCACCATTTCATCAAAACAGATCATGTTCTCAACGTCTGAACAGGATATTCGCCAATCCCCCTCGGACTCGCCCTCCTTGGCAAAGGAAGCGTCAATCCAAAAAACACTCCTGCCTTGCGCTCGAAAGGGTGCATCCGCCACAAGCACCGTAAGTCATGCTCAAAGCTCGGCCTGCGCGGGCACGCGAATTGCGAGGTCTGCTCGCAAACTTCATCAACCTTAGCCTGCAGAGCCCTTCGAACAGGGCTCATCCGTCAGCACCACATGCATCTTCTCGTACCTCTGTGTCATCGTCGATGCGTCAAGGTGCTTTGTGCCGAGATCAGGTGGCCCCAGCTCGCCTGGCACCTCAGAGAGGGCGAAGCGGCCGTCGCGGAGAGCCTTCTGGATTCAGAATGCAGGCGTCTCCAAATGTCTCACCATGCCACATCCTCGGCGCTGAGCGATGCCGATAGCCGCGGACGGGTCTGCCCACGGGCGGATGTCCACCCGAACACTTGCATGCCGATCGCCCGCGAGGCCGCGCGCGCCAGCCCGTGGAACTCCGCCTCGCCGCTGCTCTTGGAGATATCTCGGTCTGGGTCGCGGATGCTGCGACGATGGTGCGGAGGCCTTGCTCGACAACCACAACCGAAATACTCCTTCTCGCGATCGGGAAGCCAGCCCAGTCGTTGTCACCGTAGACGCCCACGCGCCTGGGCTGGCGCTGCCGCCCGCAGCGCCAGACTGTGCTGGAGGCGTTCCCTTGAGGAAACGGGCGCGCAGCTTGAGCATCCAGACGCGTCGCGCCGTCGGCTTGGCCATGCCCCCCGCGCGCTCCTCGGCCGCGCGCTGCATCCCTGGCCTGTCCAGCGCGAGGTAGCCGCGGCGCACGCACGGGAAGCAGAACTAAGCGGCCCACTTCTCGTCCAGCTCGCGCTCCGCCTCGGGCGCGGTGGCCGCCCTGGCGCCAGGGGGGCCGATGGGGGCTTTGCGCTCTCGCCGTCGAGCTCGAGCTGGGAGAGGAGGGTCTGAACGCGCCGCGGGTCCGCCTCACACTCAATGGCCTCGCCCCCTGCTGCCCGCCGGTCGCGCCGCCTGATCGCCCGGCTCAGGCGCGGCATTTCTGGCCCCAGCGCGCCGCGGCCACTCGCGATGAATTTCGCGACGAGCTGGCCCGTCACCCGCGCGGCCTCCTCGCGGCCTCCGTCGAAGACGAAGTCGTCGCCACGGTGGAAGAGGCCCGGGCGCTTTCCCTCGCGCAGGTACTTTGCGCCACTCGATAGTTCCGGGCCCTATATGCACCACAGACTACCCGAACTATACGCGCAGGCGCCCCTTCCGCGGAGCACAAGCATCCCCCCCGGGCCGCGCGCGCCCCCCCCGGACTACAGGCGCCCCCCAGCACCCCCGCAGGACTATACAACCACGCGTGCGTTGACGCGCGAGCACGCGTTCCACCGCCGTCTGCAGGTACCCCCCCGGACAACAAGCGGCCCTCCACCGGGCCACAGACACCCCGCCCGGACTACTGCCCCCCCCCCCGGACTATAGATACCCCCCCTTGGACTACAGACACCCTTCCCGGACATGCCCCCAGAACTACCAAGGGGCGCAGGGTGGGCGCACGGGCTGAGGGCGCTCTGCCGGCAGCCGCCCTGCTGCACTACCTCGGAGAGGCCGTCGGCTCGAAGTTC